AACAGTAGTAGGTTGCATTCCAGCATGCTGTAGGTCTCTCAAAACGAGCTCACGATTTACACTATCGAAAGCATTACTCTATAATCGAGAAAACTTATTCGCACGGATTTGATCTTCTTGTCTAGTGACCCTAGCACTGAGTGTACAAGATAAGCATCTTAAATAGCCCACAAACTACGATAAGCAAACTAGAGCGAATCATCTGCATGCGTTTGAATCAACATCTTTTCAGGAATAATCTCCTCAAAGATTTACTGTGGTGCAGGCTATTGGCCGGTACATATCTGAACCTTTCTTTGACACTGATGTAATTCAGTCACTTCTCCAATAGTCAGCAATTTTACATTGTTTCATGCAGAACCTGCACAGGCCAGAAAGAGACTGGACCAAGGAATCGGCAATTACCTTAAGGACAACGGGAGATGGTCCGTCCTGGCCACTTGGTTTGTTCGAATTTAGCTGCAACAGTTGAATGTCTACTGTATTTCTGTCAATGGCAGATAAAGATGTCGTTGGCCTGTCCAATCCTGGGGATAAAGGGTAAGAAGTGGAGTTAAATTTGAAGCAACACAAGTTGCGATTCCATTCTACAAGTTCCACGTCTGGATTCGACACTCGGTTAGAGACTCCACTAAGTTGTTTTAGCTCCCGTCAGACCTCCCGAAAGTTATTTCCGAGTATGGTCTTAATAGGATCTCACTGCAGCGTGATCTTTCCTTTTGAACGCTTTCTCTTTGAGTCTATGCAAGCTTTTTAAGTGTGTAGATCCGTGTAGATCCGCACGGATGAAAATCCTTTACAGTAAACAGCAGGTATCAAAGCGATGGTTGATGTATCTCCTTAACTGGTCACAGTACATGTAATAAATATATTTAAGTCTGTGGATGCAACCATTTCATCATCATCATCTGCTGATCCATGTACCTCAACTACTCCAATCAGCATGTGCGTTGCTCGCAGTGGTCTTGAAGGTGTGGAGAGTTATCCGCACACCCACATCCTGCTGAAGCAAGACGTGGACTGCCTCTCCACCTGGTCTGCAGTGGTCAACCTTCCGATCAACCCAGTCAAGTTGCAGTTCATGAGGCTGGGAAAGTGTGAGCCCAGTCGAACTTACACAGTGGCCGGTCAACCGTTGCATCCCGCGCGTTTCATGCGAGACCTCGGTATACTGTCACGCTGCGACCTAAAGTCCAGCGACAACATGAATAGGCTTTACCAAAGCAGCCTTCGTATGCTTTGGGCGCTCAGGCACAGCTTCAGCACTTGGTCCGAAGAGATCGCCACTCTCCTCTTCGTCTCAACAATACGACCAACGCTACAGTATGGCTCTCCGTTGTATTGTCCTATCACCCGGGGTGAGGTAGAAAAGATTGAGCGAGTGCAGCATGTAGCCACTAGGTTGATTCCCAACTTACCAAGTGTACCGTACAAAGACCGATGTGAGAAACTAGGGCTGTACACCCTAGCTTATCGTCGACTGCGGGTTGACCTCATCATGACGCACCGGATATTACATCTGGGAGATTACCACATGTTGAGGTCGCTGCTTCATCTGCGCACACCAAGCAGCACACGAGGACACCGGTACAACCTTGTCGTACCGGATTTGAAGCGGATCGCTCACCAACTTTGTTTCGAACGTAGATTAGTGAATGTATGGAACGACCTGCCTCAGCACATAGTTAAGGCAAAGTCGGTGTCGGAATTTAAGAAATTCCTGGATAAACATTTTGCTGACATGAAGTATATCGAGTGCAACACAACATAATGTGTCTTTGTCTCTGAGTGACATTAGATGCAGCTACACAGAGCAAATTGTACTTGCTGCTTACAACCAGTAATCAGCAGTTCTGAACATTGCCTTCCTTTAGGTCTGCGATCTTTACAGCAAGTAATCCTTGCTGTAGACAGGAGATATCTTGACCTTAGAGTGATCAAAGCTACTAATCAGTGCCTGCTTGCACACAAAACAGGTTAACAAATATAAGGTCTAGGGTTTCTCCAAGTCTGGTGGGGGAATTGACAACATTTTGCAGTCCGAGATCTGTGAGAAAAGTGATATCATATCTGTTGACATCACCAGCAGAAATGCGGAGATTTAATCAAGCTAGTCGACGACAGTGAACTGCTAGTAAAATTCCTCTGCTTGCAAGGTTACACAGCTAGGGGAAATGTAGATATTTTCCATCAAAATCGTTTAGTGTAGCCTCTTGAACTTCTTGGTTTGCATTTCCTAATTAAGAAGTTAATACGTAACGAAAAAAGCGAAACATCTATTTTGTCGACGTACCCCACGAAGGATTGATATCCGTGATAACACGTGCATCACGATTCCGGTGTGTACATGCCCGGTTGACACGATGGCAAATGAATCTCTCACTCGCTACATCTGTGTCGTCCACGTCCTCATGGAACCGGCTCTCTTGGTGCATAGTTACGCCTGGTTTCGAATATTCACGACATCAGATTATGCTCTTAATCTCATTCATTTTGCTCATAATTTGTCGGATATTTAAGTTTACCGGGTCTAATCATGCTACGCAATGTTTGCTTTCGTAGAGCTATCCTCAATCTAGCACGGTGGTTTTTAGTAGAATTGTTTCGGTTCTTGTAGATTCGCTTGTTTATTTCTTATGGCTTAATTGCGAAAGCGGGATGCGTTCAGTGGAGCAGAAACACAGGGATTTAATAATCTCGCGAGTGCAGGTCATCATGACCTTCATTATTGTGGGACTTGGCGTAGAAAAACAAATGCAAAAAGTTGCCGGAATCGTGAGTGTAAGTAATTTCGCGGATAGAGCAGTAAAGCACAGTCAACTTGGAAGACTCAAACTACATTGACACTCCGCATCTCTGGGACCGCAATCAGGAAGTCAAAAAGAATCAACCGAGGGCAGCTGTTTCATTTGCTTTTTCATGTCGCCTCTTCAAGTTGTACCTTGTCCACCGCTCTTAAGATACGCATCAAAATGTTGTCTCCAACTGTCTTCCAAGTAGACAGAACTCTCCACAATCTCCAGTGTCTCACCACCAGTGATGAATGCAGGCATAGGCGTTTGCCAGTCTTGAGAGCTTTGCACTTGATGGGGAAAAGTGCATATCATTCTTTGATATTTCAAGCGCCAAGCAGTTATCTACAAGTTTAATGACCTGTGCATCTTCACCAAGCAAGACGATTTCATAAGCATAGTCCAGATCGATAACTCGACTACCTGCCAGAAGACAAAATACCAGCGCTCAACGAATTTTCCAGAGCATTTTGAACTACATTGTCAATCCTCATCAAACCCCACTGACGATAACAAGTAAGAGAAAATTTCCCATAAACCCTAACTCAAAGCAGACCTAATTGTTGGTACATCTCGTGTATATGCCAGCGACCTCGCAGTACCTCTACTCCGCACGTGACTAGTGATGATCGCTTGGCGGCAGGGCATTGGTACCTCGTGCAGGTGGACTGTTTCTCTTTGCCTGCCCTTGGCCAACGGTGTCTGTCCTGCGATCCATTGGTCACCTGTTCGAATCGGCGTAAGTGCAGGTGACCTCGAGGTACCCATAGCCCACCCGTGACCAGCAGTGGTCGTGTGGCAGCGATGTGTAAGTTTGAAGTGCCGATGTGCTGTTGATACTTTCTTTGTTGATTCGGCGGTCACTTCATACTCATTGTGACTTTTTGACGTGTGTCCGATACCGGACCATCTGTGCTTTCTTATCTGCACACAGGTGACCAGCCGCTTATGACCTTATGGTTTACCCCACCTCGGCAGCTTAATTCTGACCATGTTTGCTCAGAGCATGTGGCTTTCGAACTTTGCTTCTCTTCACCTTTTGTTTATTCTTTTCCTATACGTGTTCATACTGAGCTTGATGTTGCATACATCATCCTTCTTTATCGCAGTTGGGCTTCACCGACTTACACTTGAACTAGATTTTCTTAAGCTGGATAAAAAGTATTTCTCTTGATTGGCTTTGTTCAGTTCTGTTATTATGCTGCATATTCCGTGTCAACCTTGCATGTTTATTTTCCTTCGACTTCTTTGTAGTTTTTTTATATATCCCCGGTGTGGTTGCGCTTGATTGAAATGTTGACAAAGTGCCTAAAACTCTCCGCCTCGCTTACTGGCTCCAGAAGACTGAATCGTTGTTAGGGAGACGGGGTGTACGGTCCTCGTGGGCATGCTAGGCTCAAAGACTGATTCTACACATCCAGTGTGAAGCGACCTACGGCCAAGCCACCGCCTTGTGTGCGATTGATTCCCGAAATACAGCGTGCTTGTGTTTGCCTGTGAAGGAGTGTGGGCCGGCTCCGTTGATGAAACGTGGCTCCCATCCGCATGCCTCCCGATCTTATTCCTTCTGGTTTACACTGGATATGGGGCGCGGGTATAGAGCTGTGGGTGGTGTAGCGCAAGCCACCCATGGTCCCTGAGTAAGCGCAGGCGTTCTGTACCTTTCCTGTGGAGGCCATAGTGACACGCAAATCCGAAATCAGATGCCACCAACCATATTCAACTCTTACAGTTTGCAGTTGGACGGTGGCGAAGCACCATTAAAATGTATTGGTGTACTCCTGTCAACAGCTATGACCATTGCTGTCCATTTTGGGCCGTTACGGGTTTTTGTGTTTAGCTTACTTGGGATTTGAACCAGTTCCAGTGGTGACCTATCTCAACTAGCCACAACGATTACTGCCCTACTCCTTGGCCTGAATAGGCGAGGGAATAATTACGATTGACGGGACTTGGGGGGGGGGGGAGAACGAGGCAGCCCTAACCCAGAATTCTTCCAGATGTATAGCGGTCTTCTGTGCTCTGGTTATATCTTTTTGTTGTCGGCATCTCTCAGCATTCCTTTTCCTCTACGACTCTTCCTTTTCTCATTCGCATTATGCCGTTCCACTGTGACCTTGAGAGATGTCTTATACGTGGCTCACACACTTGTGGTATGTGTAGCGGTTCTCATGTGATGTTTCACTTGCAGCTGTACCTCTTTTTCAGACTGGAGAATAACCTGCGGCGCCTCCGTTCCGATGTGCAATCTATGCGCGCTGTCGAATCACAACTGCGCAACCAGCTGACTCAATTGGAGCGAGGTGACCGGCTCAATCGACTAAGTTTGTCCGAGCAGCGACAGAAAAATGAATCGCTTTCTGCGGAAATCTCCAAGTTGACTGCTTTGACTCGAACGGAACGCGCCAATTTAGCCAGTGTGGAGCAAAGTTTGGCGGAGGAGAAACGTTTGCGTCAAACACTGGAAGTTCAGTTGAGCGAGGAGCCCGTTCTCAAGGAGGAACATGATGTTGATGCCAACGCTCTTTCCACCTTCGAGCTTGCCACTAGTACGGGGCAAGGAAATTCTGTCCAGTAAGCTCTTCTACCCTTCTAGTTCATTGCTTGTTATCATGCCATATCATTATCCGTTAAACTTTGAGTTACCGTTTTTGTGCACCTTTTGTTGACTGAAGATGTCATGCATTTTTAGCCCACCTGATATCTGCACGATGCACTCAGTGTTATGCATCCAACTCGTCCACACCACATCCAGGTCTCACACATATTGCTGTCCGCTCCTCTTACTTTGCCTCATGTCTCCTCAAATGTGACGATTTCCCTTCACCACTTGTTCATGAATGTGTCATTTTTCGGCCTGACTGTTTTTCGCAAGTTCTCACGAATCGCAACCCATTAATTTAACCAATTATCCCACAGACTAATTGATCAGATGTCGCGCTCACACACCATGTACCACATGGCTGCCTACGCGGAAGTATCACATCACATAACTTGGAGTCAGGTTCGAATGTGAGCCGGACCACGTGATTGCTTCAATACAGCTGTCACGTACATACGATGCCGATAGATAACGGAGTAAAAAAGCTGCGAAAACTTTGGGACTTACATTTGTTGCTCCGCAGCAAATTCGTTTTTGCCTTGCTTCGTAGGAGCTTCGAATCGCATCTGTTTCGTGGAGCCGAGTCTCAGCCTCATTGGTTTATCGCTCTGCATATGGATCCAGTTATTCTGTCCCCCCCTTACACTATCGATGAATATTGGTACGGACACAACTACGTAGCAGCGAAAGGCTAGATGAGTGGCAGTCGTTGGTCTGGTGGTAGAGATTGAATTCACTGATCGCTACTACACTTGATGTTACCGTTCTCTCACCCTGGAGTCCACCGGACCTTCACCGTGTTTTCTGGATCGTAGCAATATCACTTGCTGCTGACGACAATTACGCATTCTGTATGTGTGTAATGCTACGGGAACTGAAGTTGCTGACAACTAAACCTGGTGCTATTGTTCCTTCTCACCTTTCAGATTGAAATCCGCATGCTCACAGATTTATATGCTGATGTGGTCCGCTGCCGGCAACATTGGGTCATTTACTCTTACGTCCAAGCTTGGCTGCCTGTTCAATATGGGTTCGGGGCTGAGTTCTCTGTGGAGTACGGACGATTATGATGCGACGCAGTCAACGCAGCAAGGAAGCTGTTCCATTGATGCCGCTCTGCCTTCTCGCAATCATCCTCAATGCACGTTAGCCTGGAGTGGGAAACATCTCAGCTAATGTACCACAGTACAAAAAAGCTAGGGGATTAGACATTACATCCTGCTAAGCCTAAAAAGGTTACATAATGCTGACATCACATTCTGCATTGGGCTTGTGATCGTTGTTGGATGGGGAAGCTAAGGGGGAGAGGAGGGACAAATAGTCTCACAACACAAACACCACTGAGGTCGGCTCCTCGCCAACTCAGCTAGTGTATCTAACCTATCGTATTCATCGTCCTTCGGTCCCCAGCCAGGCAGTCGAGAAACACCAAGTGCGAAGTGAGGGACTTCATTCCTGTTGACCAAGTCATCGCTTGGCCTCCCCTCCTCTTCTTCCATCCACACCCCGGCGCGCAAACATCATACCTTGTGGGAGTCGGTGGGTTAGCATGCGTAACGCGTGGCCGAGCCATCGTGGCCTGGTGCGTGATAAAACGGTGCTGAGCGGTTTACTCGTACTTCCTGTACCAGATACGCGACGTCGAACAAGGTCATTGCTCACGCGATCTACCCACCAGACAGGAGCTAAGCTTCGAAGGCAACGATGGTCGGATGTAACAAGCCTCTTTATGTTTCTCAACTTGATGGGCCAGGTTTCGCAGCCGTATAGGAGCGTTGAACAGACGCCTTCATTGTAATCTCCCTACAGAACGAGAGTAATGTCACACCGGCGCCACAAATGACGGAGATTGGCAAATGCGCATCATGTTTTTGCCATACGGTTCGTATTCTCATCTTCCGTTCCACTGGCACTGATAAAGCTGCCCAGATACTTACATTTCTGGACGACTTCTAGCTGATCACTGCCAAGGGTCGGCACTGGAGTAGGTCCTTGCCAATCTTGGAGGACTTTGCATTTCTATGGTGCGAAGTATTGCCCGAAACGATTGACAGTCAGAGCTAATTTATCCAGTGCAGCTCGCCACGTCCAGGAGCTGTCACTGATGAGCGCAATACTTCGGCATACTCTAAGTTAAGAAGTCGGTCAGGTGGGAGCAGCTCCATGCCTTTTAAGTCGTGCCCGGCGCACGCTTCTACCATGACGTCGTCAGTAGCGAAGTTAGAGAGGAAAGATTACAGCGGTCTACCTTGTTTCACACCGCTGGAGATATTATAGGGCGGCGAAAATTTGCCGTAAACCCTCACTCCGCCCTAACCATACGCCTACAGTGCCCTTATGACATTTGCATGTTTATCGGGCCCTGTCTTCTTGCGATGGACAACTGTTGTTGGACGGGCACGCAACCTTATGTTGTTGCTAAGCTGTAGATGCTTTGACCCTGCGTGTTCTTTGAAGGCATTTCGGCCATGCACTAGGTCTCTTTTCCTCACTCTGGAGATCATTATGGCCGCGCGGTAGCTAAGCACCAATTCATACTGTTGATGTACTGCTGTTGACGATGCTGACACTGTCCCACTTCATTACGACGCGCAACTTCCAATGGGATAGTGTAACTTTCTCCAGAGTCACTCCCGAGGTCGAACAAGGGTCTCTTGGAAGCTGTCTCCTGAGATCCCTTCGACAATATTGGTTCGTCAGGGTTGCCCATGTCTTCATTTCCTCTTAAACTTCGTGGTGACAATGATCATGAATGACTCGCTTCATTCGGACTCCTCCTAAGCGGAAATTCTACTAGGTGACCGTCTGACAAACCTTACGTATGCGGACAACATAATTCTCCTTTGGTCAAACACAGTAGCTGTGGTAGCATAATTGCATAAACAGACGCGTAGCGCTGCACGCTTCGGGACATACTCTGCATATATATATATATATATATATATATATATATATATATATATATATATACATATATATATATATGCATGCTGATGTTAATGTTGTATTCATGTTGCCTCTTCACCGCAGTTCGGCTAAACAAACTTACACTTAAACTAGGTCTTTTTAATGTGGATAAAATTCATTCCACTTTATTTGGTATGTTCTGCGTACCTGACAATCTTCTCCTAACTTGCACACGTCGCTCATGCTAACTGTGGTGAACTTGCGCAACTTTATCACGTGTTTTTAAAAAAAATAACTTTCGGACATTTTGTACTTATCGCCGATTCGCTTGTAACCAGTTTACTCCATATGCTCCTTTATCAAGTATTTATGTCGTCACATACGTTTACTTTATACGATATCTTTTATTTGATATCGGCATTTCGAATGATTGGCTGCTGTTTGACATCCCAAGTGTGGCTGCGCTTGATGTGCGTGTTGACAAGGTGCCTACTTGTCTATTACCAACTACCTCATCCATACTGGCTCTAGCAGACAGTTGGTCGTTGCTGGAGCGGACGGGGTGCACGGTCGTTGTGGTCGTGCTAAGGCTCGAAGAGCGGTTCCATGCACTGAGTGTGGAGCGGACTACTGTCCAGCCACCGCCTTCTGTGCGCTTGCTTCCCTAAATACAGCGTGCTTGTGTTTGCCTGTGAAGGAATGCGGGCCGGCTCCGTTGATGAACCGTGGCTTCCATCCGCATGTCTCCCGGTCTTATTCCTTCGGGTTTACACTGGATATGGGGTGTGTGTGTGTGTGTGTGTATAAAGCTGGGAGTGATGCAGCGCAAGTCATCCATGGTCCCTCTATGGGCGCAGGCGTCCTGTGGCTTGCCACAGTGACAGGCAAATCCGAAACCGGATGCCGCCAACCAAATAAGGCTGGAGAGCTTATGGCGCACTGAGACTTATGGTGGCTAGATCCTGACGGATGGTCTACCCATTGTTGCTACTGTTGTGACGTGGGCTCGAGTCCTGGACTCCACGTAGCGACCGCTAATTGGGATCTGGGTTATGGCTTTCTTCTGACTGTCAGGACATACCAATCCGCATGAGTCAGTGCACTGACCATATGCTAGACCCGCTGCCTTTTGGGTGTACATTTAATCAAAGATTTTGGTTAAGGACCCTATTCGTCCTTTCAGATGTGTTTGCCCTGCCGGTATCCTAGTCCAAACCCCATCTTCTTTGGATGTTAGGAACTGGTCGATGGCCCTATTCCCTTAAAACCTAGTCGTAGCGGCAACAGGTCCACGGGTTATATACCCACAGCTTTATTGGCTTAGAGCACGGGCACTACGCACTGTTTCTGACGGTGCTAGGGCACCTCCGGGTGCTCACTGGTTTGTTACTGCCCGCCTCAAGCCAGGGAGTCGTTGGTCAAATTGATGCAGTATGCCAAAACCCTCGTATGTCTGACCGTGGTCGCAGGTGTGTATCCTACTACGGTCGCAAAACACACGGATCGTTCTTGATCTTGAAAGGCTGTGTGTGACGGACCTCAAGCAGATTCCAATGCGTCTCTGCAATCATACTCCCGAGCTGAGTCTGCTCCCCACTGCCTTTTGGGTCAGACTGTTGTGTCAAAGACTCCAGGTGGAGTCCATCCAGCAAACCTCCAGATCACTCACTGTTTTGCGAGTTAGGCTATTGAGCCAAAACCTCCGGGTGGAGTCCCTCAAGCATACCACCGAAGCACAATCACCATCACACGTACGATTGCTCACTAATGCAATCTTATACCTGCGCGCAAAGTACTCATCATCGGGTGCTGGAACGTGCGCACACTGCTGAACCGTATCTCGAGTGAGTGCCCCGAGCGACGCACTGCACTCGTCGCAGTGGGACTGGCGCGCTGCAACATCGATATTGCGGCGCTCAGCGAGACCCTGCTCGCTGAGCAAGGTGACTTACATGAAGCAGATGCAGGCTGCACATTCTACTGGGTAGACAACGCTACGTCAACACCACATGAACATGGGGTCGATTTGTACTATCCGATCACTTTAATGGCCAGTTGGTGGGTG